TTCAAGGCATCTCCTTAACCGGGAGATGCCAGCCTCATCTTTTTTGTCAAAACAACAGATTCTTGCTTTGGGGAAGCATCATTATTGCGCTTGCGTGTTGCACTTAAGTTATAAGTTTTCTTCCTTTCAAGGTTGAATCTCAGACATTTCATCATTCCATGCGAGAAAGGGCATCATACTTCAATCCTTCCCGTACTTCAGTACGGAATAACATGGTTGTAGGTAAAGGGTTACTCCACCCCAAAATGAAAATTATGTCATTAATTACTCGCCCTCATGTCGTTCCAAACCCGTAAGACCTTTCGTCTTCGGAACACAAATTAAGATATTTTTGATGTATTCTGACAGCTCTCTGACCCTCCTATAGACAGCAATGTAAGTAACACGATCAACGTCCAGAAATGTAGCAAGGACATCAGTAAAATAATCCATGTGATATCAGGGGTTCGACCGTAATTTTACGAAGCTACGAGAATACACGGATACGTTGTTTTCGTTCAAATCAATGTGTAAATAAACGTAGAAAACGTATCCGTGTGGTGCGGCTGACACAGAATAGCATACGCTGATTACGTTCAGTGGATATTCTCCAAAATGGCACCAGGGTGACGCGGAGGGTCTTACGGGTTTGGAACGACATGAGGGTGAGTAATTAATGACAGAATTTTCATTTTGGGGTGGAGTAACCCTTTAAGGTGCTTTTTGCCTTTTTAGAGCTTCACATCCTGTGAAAACACCTTTGGAAAAGACAGTCATAAGAGTTTGGAGCAACATGAGTGTCAGTAAATACCTTTCAATTTTGGGTGAACTATCCCTCTAATGATATTCTCAGGTAGAAGCTGTAAATGCACATAGTTTAAATCAATAATGATCTTTCAAGCCATAATTTAATCACTGTATTGGAGGATTTGCGGTAGTAGGTTTCTCTGTTGTGCTCCAGACTGCTGGGTTCCAGGAGGTGCTGACAGACACCGAGACTCTTGCGCTTATGGTTGGGTGTTTCTGCCATGACCTGGACCATCGTGGCACGAACAACGCCTTTCAGGCAAAGTGAGTCAAAAGTCTGTCAATGTAAATTACGTCAGTGGCTCCAGATTTTACATTGCACATCAAATAATGACCCAACAGTACCATAGCACTAAAATTGTCATGTAAAAGTAAAGTTGTTCATGGATGAGGCATATCATGTAACCTGTCAATGTTGGCATCTGTCTAATATGACTAACTTCTACTGACTGACCAATTTGTGCCAATTCTCTGGAGTGTCTGATTGGCTGCACAACCTTAAAAGCCAACATGGGAGGTGTTTTCTCCTCCCTTTTTAAGGTTAAAGTCTTTTTTTTTATTTTGCTACTCTAATTCTGCATGTTTACATGGCTACTTGCATTTTATCATTTGCATTTACTTTTGTTTTTCCCCCAGTTCAAATGTCTAAATATTTTTAAAGCAAGAAACATTTACCACCATTTTAAAGTTTGGGGTTGGTAAGATTTTTTTAAATGTTTTTAAAAAACATCTCTTATGCTCACCAAGGCAGAATTTATTTATTTATTTACAGAATTTATTTGTTTAAAAATACAGCAACAACAGTAATATTGTGAAATATTATTAGCATTCAAAATAACTGTTTTCTATTTTTATATATGTTAAAATGTAATTTATTCCTGTGATGCAAAGCTGAATTTTCAGCAGCCATTACTCCAGTCTTCAGTATGCACCCTTCAGAAATCATTTGAATATGTTGATTTGGTGCTTCTCACGACTAATTCGTATGTATTTTACGAGGTGGCTAATTCATTTGAATTCGTAACTCACTCACTCATACGATTTTGTACGATTTGTCTAGACCCCAGTGACAGGTAGGTTTAGGGGTAGGTCATTTGTTCGAATTCATACGAATTGGGGAACTCGTAAAATACATACGATTCAGCAAAATTCGTACGAATTTCTATGAGTAAGGTCATACGAATTCATACGAATTAGCCCACTCGTAAAAAATATGTATGAATTGCTATGAGATCGGGTTGGGAAATCGCAATTATTTTGTAGTCTTTATCGTCACTTTTGATCAATTTAATGCATCTTTGATGAATAAAAGCATTAATTTAGTTTAAAAAAACACATATTGACCCCAAACCTTTAAACAGAAGTATATCTGAGAATGAAAATTTGCATAAGATGCTATAGTTAGTTTCCAGATAATTTTTCTTGAATACATTTTTTACCCAATTTACCAATGGATTATGAAAAAACTTAATTCACTTTAAGTACATTTTTAAAAAATATTTTACATAATTTTGCCTCTCAAGTAAATATAGTTTGTTTTAAGGTATTTTTACTGGAAAACAAGACACAATGCTAATTAAGTGATTTTTTTTTCTTTTTTTGTAGCGCAGTCTATTTAGCATGACCTGTGCGTTTGTACAGCAGCATAATGTGCTTATTGTTCTGGATCTGATCTCTGTTGTGCTCCCAAAGGTCTGGGTCAGCACTAGCGCTGCTGTACGGAACATCTGCCACACTTGAGCATCATCATTTCAACCACGCCGTCATGATCCTGCAGAGTGAGGTGAGCATGTCTGTCAGGTCAGGTCTCAGTACTGAGCAGTACAGAATAAAGGTCAATTTTAAAATTTAAATTTGTACTCTTATTTGCAATTAATTGTATTTTCATTAATTATACAGTCCATGGTATATCCACTACTTAGTTGAAGCAAATGAAACAAATATTCAGTAAAGCAAATAAAACAAATAATAAGTAATTATAAAATGAATGCTAGTTTTGCAGTTTGACTTTTCAATGAAATAAACACTTTTGGACTCACACTGTGTGTGAAAACAGTGATCTGCAGAACACAATGAATGTTGTCAAGCAATGGAGTAATAACCAGTCTCTCTCACACTTCTCTTGTAATGGACTTGCAGAAATGACCCATTTTACCCTCGTCCACATTTGCATGTCTCAGTGGATGGAATGAATGCAAATAGATGTCAGCGTTTGATTAAGTGGCTGATTTAGCTCTGAGCTGTTTAATCATGATCAAGCTCTGTATCGATTTCCTGTAGATGTCCATTGAGCTTTTTTAACCAACACCAATTAACTGTGCTAAGGAGATTCCCCTCTTGGGTCAGCTGCACTGAAGCAAGGAGAGAAAGAAATTGCTTTCTATCCCAGAGACTGAACATGCATGGAGAACTTTGGAGACACACTCTTTATGAATGATACTCAGGGGTGTGAAGAGATGGCTGGTTTCATGATTGGCTTTATTTCAGCAGAAAAGACAGGGCTTTATAAGAGTACTAGAACTTGGAATGAGAGATGATGTGCTTTCCCCAAACTTCACTTACTGTAGACTTTAGGAGAGTGGGGTAAGCTGTGCCACATTTTACTTAACCCTACAGCGCCAACTGTGTCATACTGTATTTGATACACTACTTTCTAAGGCCTCTAAATTATAAACATGACCTTTTATATGCCTTTTGTCATCTGATTGACAGTTTATACTTTTTTAGTAAGTAAAAGGACTTTTCATAAAATTGTAAAAAATCCAATAGTTGTGGAAAGCGTGCATTTTGCAGTGAAATTTTCACCAAATCCGTATAGAGTAAACATAAGAATACATGTTATATTGCTAGTAATATTTCAAGATGACACTTAATGGTCTGAAGCTACATACTGTAGGTTTACTTGATTATCCATACATTATTTTCAAAAAATCAAGTTAAAATTGGTAATAAAATATGACAAATCAGGCTTTTGAGGAACATTTATTTGTACTTCCTCCACAATAAAAACTACAGAGCTTTGTTCATAAAACTAAGCATTTTAATATAACCTTACTAAGACATATTATTGATATTAGTATAGCTATGGAGACTATATTTATACACATTTAATGCAAGTAGTCTGCTATACTGATATAAAGATCTCATCGATTTATTTACATAACACGCTATCAGAATTTAACATGTACTTTTTGGCCATATAAGTATCAGCAGCTGCACCAAATTGCATATTTTTGCTCAGTTTGGGCCTCTGAAGAAAACCTGATGTATCAAATATGATGCTTGAAATTTGAAAATTGTTTATTATTCCATACAGTATGTCAGGCTTTACAGGGTTAAGCTGTCCGATAAAGCTCAAATTAATAGATCTAATTATGTTTAAAAGTGCCTGCTATGAGCTAAAATTAAATGAAAGCACAGGGCCACAGAAATATGACTTCTTCCCCGCTGAGATTTTAAAAAGGTAAGTTGAATCACGTTAGCAGTAAATGATCAATGACAAATATGGGCATAAAAGCAATGATTGTACAGGACAAACCAAATACCAAATAGTTTCTCTCCTAAATAATCAAAAGGCTTCAAAATAATTTCATGTAATGAACTACATTATTATTTTTTAAGAAACTGAACACATTAATTCAATATACAACCATCAAGGTTCCAGGGAAATATGAAATGTTACTCCCTCCTCACATTGTCATGCATTTGCACTAATAATAATAATAATAATAATAATAATAATAATATTATTATTATTAGTGACCCAGTTTGCCAATTTAGACATCTTGCCCCACTCTTCCCTTACTATTGGATATAACATTTGTCTAACATCTTTTTCTCCTTTTTTTTAACAGGGTCACAACATTTTTGCTAATCTGTCCTCCAACGAGTACAGCAACATGATGCAGCTACTGAAACAGGCCATTCTGTCCACAGATCTCACCTTGTACTTCAAGCAAGTAATAGTATCAAACAGTATATGTTTCAATAGTCATAATAAGGGGTAGCGACCCACAGCTTCGAACTGCTTTAAATATTCAACCAGATGCATGTAATTCATGTTTAGGCCACAGAGAGGTGCCCTTTGAATAGAGGCAGAAGAGGCGATATTAAGCCCCTTTTCTGACTTTTGTTCAGATCCTGAAAGCCTGGTGAAGATCTGAAAGATGCCTTAAGGAACATTAAATAACCTTAAATGGTAAAATTTGCAATTATGTAAAATTAATTATTGGATCTTTTTTTTTTCTTTATTATCTTCATAATCCATTGGATATAAAAGAAGAAGAACCAAGTTCTTTGAGTGTGTTTTGTCGGGACAGTTCAGTTGGAGTAATGAAGAACATAAAGACGTGTTCAGGTGAGTGTCTACAACTTTTAAAATTGATAACAGAAATGCCAGGATCTGCTGTTAAAATACTATATATATTACCAGGTCTATGCTGATGACTGCGTGTGACTTGGGTGCAGTGACTCGACCATGGGAGATCTCAAAACAGGTTAGACAGACCCACATTGTTCTATTTTTGTCTTGTTTTCCAGTATAAATATCTTATTTGAGAGGGAAAATTGTAAGATAATAAGATTTGTTTTGAGAGAATAAATATATATATATATATATATATATATATATAT